TATTAGGTGATGAAAACATATAAAAGTTATTCACTGCCTTAATATGACTTTTACACCTGCTGTTATCTCAACCATATATCTGTTATTTTCAGAATAATTATAATAGTAATTTTGTAAAATCCCAGTAATAGTGTAGAAAAATTGCCAAAAAAGAAAACAAAAAATGAATCTACATGAAAAATCATAATAAGATAGATAAACAAAGTAAATGAAATAATCTGTCCTAGATTTATAGCTGTATACCATGTAATGAATTTTAATCCTCATAAAACCAGTTTTCAGATTAAATCCTGTTTTTATAAAGTTTTGGCTCAATGAAAATGTTCCCAAGAGGGAGTACCAATGAGCACCAATAGGTTGCAAAATCACCCCCACTGTCAACTGCCTGGGGGGCCAAACCAGCAGACGTGAATGGATTATTTGTGGTGCTCATAGCAAAGGAAAACCTCCTTTAAAAGAGAAACATATCATCAGCAATAGGTTGGCAATTCAACTGGCACTTGATAAGGGTTGAAACGGCATTACGAAACCAAAACTAACACTTTGATGCAATGAGCATTTGAAAATAAATCCAGTTAACCTCCAACGGCAGCATGTGTTTACAGCAGTAAAGAAGTCTTTGTTATACTGTTATGCATCTTAACTGTCGGAGCCTGTGCTGAAATTAATATAAAAAATAATCATAGTAAATCTTTCTCTTTCTTTCTGCAGGGCAAAACGCCACAATCTGTGATTACCCTGAGAACGACACAGGCTTTACTCCCACCTGCGTAACTGAAGTAAAGGACTTTAACAAAGTGTTTCTCACCACTCTCTACAGTTTGGTTTTCATCATGGGATTCATAGGTAGGTGTGTCCTCTTGTGTGTATGCTGTGGAGATTATGAGTTTCTACACATTGCACAGACCTCCTTTTCTGGGAATTTCCATTTTGCATACTTTAAAATATGTATGTAGGTGTGTGTATGTGAGACACAGATGAAATGGGAAAGATGTTGTTCAACATATAACAGTGTGACAGGTACACTTATTGCGTTTTGTCTCCCAAAGGTAATGGACTAGTGGTGTGTGTCCTGGTGAAGCATCGCAATCAGTGCAACCTGACAGACATCTGCCTCTTCAACCTGGCTCTCTCTGACCTCCTCTTCGTCTT